TATATATATATATATATATTTTTTTTTTTTTAAACCTGCCACTGTAATCATAGTTTGTTAACTAGTTGACTAGTAGAGAAACTGAACAATGCTGGGTAATATTTTAAAGTTATAATTTCATCAGCAACCAACTTAAAGAATCTAAATACAAATCTGGACATAACGAGTGTGTGCAATCTTTGACTAACTACTCTAAGGACTAAAATAAAACTTTTCGCTATTACTTCCCAGTGGACTTTTCATCTTAAGTTATGCTAACGTTTAGCAGGAAAACTATGAAGGTTACAAAGAAGCACGCTTTAACAATAACTTTTTAAACTTGTAATAGTAAGAACATGGAAATAATACAGAAAGATGGAAAGTAGAAAGTATCCACCGATATACATGTATCCTTTTGTATCTCATTCCATGCATACATGATAATGCTAAATATAATACACATAACAGTATGCTTTACATAAAAGGATATACTCTCCCTAATATTCAGTAACTTTTATTTAAATGTTCTTCCTGGTCAGTATGTGTAGTTATATCTCAGTTCTTCCAGAGGTTATAGAGCATAATAGAAATGAAAAATAAATCTATAAATGAAAACCTGAATCTCTGTTGATGACTGTGAGATACACACACACACACACACACACACACAATCTGTATGTTTAACTCATAACAGGATTTTTATAAAATTAAACTGTGTAAATAGGTCTGCCTTATTCTGGACCTATACCTCAGAGGCAATTCTTTTCAGTAGCTTCTTGGGAAAGTATTTTAGTACTTATGAATAAAATTGTAAAAACATACATATGCCTGTATTTATTGGTTTATCAACTGTAGACACTATGCAGGCAAAGCACTGCACTGCCAGGAGGTCCTAGTCTCCACTTTCTCAAGAGATACATTTTAAAATTTTCAGAATTCTCCCAATTCATACATGCTACTCTTTCACTGAATTTCTCCCGTCATGTTTTATTTAGGTGTTACAATGATCTTCCACTAGGAGGGGTGAAAATATGCTGCCACCCTGGCTCACCAGAAGAGGACATCAGAATCTTTGGGAAATCTTATTTATTTATTTTTTTAAAGAGATTTTTGCTATAGGACACATTTGCTTGCTGGAGAGACAGAGAAAGACAAAAAGAGAGACTTCACCCCTCAATAGGATGGCCATACCTCAAATTCCTTCTCCATTCTCTTCTTGGGATCTTGGGCACACATGCACACATGCCCAGTGTGTGTTTTAAGCTGCTGGGCCTGGGACTCAAACTGTGGTTGACTTGGTGGGAGTCCGGTGGCATAAACATTATGCCATCTGCTGGTCCTGGGAAGGTCTTTTTGAAACACACATCTTCCTTTCTAACCCCAAGTGGTACATGCTTACCTGATTGAAAATCATTGCTTGTAATTTATTAGTTGGGTATGTGCTGAGTGGGTAGTAATATATATATATATATATAAAGGCTAAGACGTTCAGTTGGTGAATAATTCTTTTTAGGGTAAGGAGCACCCTTATCTTCATTTTCTGTTTAGCTCAGGGTATTGATCCATGGCCTGTTAGCAACCACGCTACACAGCAGGAGGTGAGTGGAGGCCAAGCAAGCGAAGCTTCATCTGTATTTTCAGCTGCTTCCCATCACTCTTATTTCTGCCTGAACTCCACCTCCTGTTAGATCAGCAGTGGCATTAGATTCTCATTGGACTGCAAACCCTATTGTGAGTTGTGTTATGAAGGATCTAGGTTGCATGCTCCTTATGAGAATCTAACGCCTGATGATCTGAGGTGGAGCTGAGGCAGTGATGCTAGCACTGGGGCGAGGATTTATTTCTATTATTACAAAGTAATACTAGTTGTGTGTGTATTATTACAAAGTGATAATAATATAAATAAAGTGCACAATAAATGCAATGCACTTTAATCATCCTGAAACTACTCCCCCACTCTCCAGTCTGTGGAAAATTTGTCTTCCAGTCCCTGCTGCCAAAAAGGTTGGGGAAGGCTGATTTAGCCCATTACTTCATTATCAGCCTAGCAGAGGGCTCTCCTTTCTCTCCCTTCACAAGAGTGCTCCTGTAAGCATTAGTAAGTGGTAAAGAACAAACAAAGGAGGGGTAGGGATGGCATAGCATTAAGGGCTCACTGCTGAAATGAGTGACTATCTTCTGCATTCTGGGCAAGGGCAAGTCAGATTTGTATCCAGCAAAATTACTATCATGGGGTCTTCAGAGTTCACTGGAATTATTGAAAGTATTAACTCTGTGACTACAAACCAAATCATATATATATATATATAATCTTTAAACCTGGTAGAAACCCTTAGAGGTCTCAGTTCTGTCTATCTGAAGATCTGCCTTACCGGATACAGTAGAGTCTAAGAGTGACAATGACAAGGGCATGCCTGTCTGGAGGGTTGTTTCCCTAGCACTTTGAGTTCTCTCTACAGCACCTGAGGGTAACTGAAAAGCCTAAGATGAGAAGTACTGATGGGGCTCTCTGACTGTTTTATCTGCAGACTGCAGCTGAATATGTAAAATCCCGACTCCCAGAGGCTCTTAAACAGCATCTTCAGGACTACGAGAAGGACAAAGAAAATAGTGTACTGTCCTACCAGACCATCCTCGAACAGCAAATTCTGTCGATCGACCGAGAAATGCTAGAAAAGTTGACTGTGTCCTATGATGAAGCAGGTATGTTTGTCTTTAATACAGACACGCACACACATGATTCTTTGTTTTCCCTTGCAAATATTTCTTTATAAACCTTGGTTAAATCTGGACCCCTTTCTGAGGAAAAGGTTGAAAACAAACTGGATTCAAAAGTTGTAACATGGATTAGTAGTTTCCTCTCTGTATTTTTAGTATCAAAACTTTGTCAAGAGATTACTAAAAATGGCTCTTGAATATCAAATCCCTTTAAATTTTCGCTCTTCTTAAAATGGAATTTTGCTGGCCTTTTATCAACCATGTACTCCTATTGATCTAATCTTTTAAAGTATCACTTCAATTTTGGATACCAGCTGGAAGCGTTTACATCTGATAATCCGAGAACTGAACTGTTATTTTGAGTATTTTTTTTTTTAACTTTGGGGATTTTCTTTTCCAAAGACGTACTGCATTTTTCATGAAATATTTAGTTGAACTTGACTTTCTTTCCTTAGTAGCCTCAGAGAAATCCTAACCCTAGTTCCATACCAGAGACTATTTCACTGCCTGCCACAAGCTTATCCACCCAAGGGAGCTTATTCATAAAGTCACAAGTAGGCCTCCTTTTAGAACTGTTTTTTAAAGTTTGTTTCTGAGGGAACCAGCAGTTAGCATAATGGCTATGTCGCTGGACTCCCACGTAGTCGAACGCGGTTTGTGTCCCGGACCCGGTGGCTTAAAACTCACGCCGGGCGCATGTGCGTGCATTCCCAAGATCCCGAGAGGAGAATGGAGGAGAAGGGATTGCGGCGTGACCATCCCCACTGGGGGGTGATTTCTCGCTTTCTGTCTCTCTGTCTCTCTCTGTCTGTCTGGCGAGTGCACGCGCCCTATCGTGAAAAACCTCTCAAAAAAAAAAGTTTGTTTATGAGAGCGAGTGAGAGAGAGACATTGATTTTTGACCAGGTCTTGCCCTGTTGGATCCTCCTGCCCAGTCTCGCAGTTGCTTAGGTCCGCAGACATGCGCCGCCATGCCCGACCTGTTCTTGTCCGACCAGGAACTGGGCCAGGAACCTAGCTAGGCCTCCCGGGCGGTGTTAGCCTCTGAGTAGCAGTTAGCAGCATGTGCCACCACAGGTGAGCTCTTATAATCATTTTTATCTCTTACAGGATCTGTCAGCTGAAACCCAATTTTAGTGAAATTGGTACTGTATTACTTTGAATTATTAAAATCGTTAATAAAATTAAACTCACACAGCAGACATATCCTGATTAAAATTCGTATTCGTATACCTCTCCTTCCACCCAAAAAAAAAAAAAAGGAGGAAAAATTTGTTTCTAGTGGTCAAATATTGATAATATTAACCCTTTTTTAGTTCTAGAAACTTCTGTTTCTATTTCATAAAGACATTTTTAATATGCATCTGTCTTCTACCTCACCTCAGAGACTTCATTTAGGGGTTAGAATCTAAGTATTTTTCATGATGTTGCATTCTTAACATTTGATTTTAAGCTTGGATAGCAAACAGAAGAGAAAATGAAGTATATGTACAGGGACTTTGCAGATGGTGGAATGATTACATGGCTGAACTCCCATGTAGTTGACTATGGTTCGAGTTCTGGACTCAGAGGCTTAAAACTCATGCCAGGTGCATGCCCAAAATCCTGAGAGGAGAATGGAGGAGAAGGGATTATGGTTTAGCCATCCCACCCAAAAGGGGGCAATTTTTTGCTTTCTGGTTCTCTGTCTCTTTGGTGAGCTCAAGCACCCTATAGTAAAAATCTCTTTAAAAATATGTATACAAAATTCATCTAATCATAAATGCAGTTTTTCTAGTTATAAGTTATCCTCATTTATATTCCACACCCTCACCCTTTCACATCCCTCTCAAGTAGGATCCACATTTCTAGCCTTTCCCAGGACATCGTTACTATTTCTGATTCTCTTTTGCTCTATTAATTTCACAAACATGTTGGCTTTCTCCTGTTGGCTGGGTGGTTAAACATTTTGGTCTCTATCTTTTTCTTGCTTTTAGTATTCTTCTCTTTGGTATTCTTACTCATCTCCTTTCTCATCCCTAATGGAGTAAAATAAAGTTGTGATGAGCCCAACCAAAATAATATTTAAGTATTCATAGCATCTTGCAGATGATGGAAATCATAGAGTCCACCCACTGGGTGCTGCCATAACCATTGTGTAGTAAGAACACTGAGACCCATCGGCTTGCCTGAAATAGCAGTTACTTACGTAGCTGTCGAGCTGGGATTCCAGCCTCCTAATTACTAATCAAGCTGTGCTTTCACCACGCTGATGCATGTGCGCACTTGTTCAGCAAGCATTCTTTGTGTGTATAGCAGCAGACAGGCAGCTGGGAGAAAAACAGAAGAGCATTGAAAAGATAGGGAAGACACTAAGATATAGGAAATGTACATCTTAAAGTCTGATTGAGGAGTTAAAACATACATGTATTACTTCAGGAGAAAAATTCCTGAGGCATTTGGGAACTAAGTACACCCCGTGATATCCATAAGCTTCTGAAATTAAATTAAGCTGAGATGTGGAGTCAAGGAATAGTGAAAGTGGCTCAACTTTCCCATAGAATTCTCTAGAGGGGGGCATTAGTTTAAAACTAGCAGTACAGGGGCCAGTAGGTGGCTTGATGGTTGAGGAACTGGACTCAGAGTATCTTGAGTGTTTGGAGTCATGTACCTGGAGGCTTAAGATTCATGGAGGCAGGCCAGAAGATGGCATAATGGTTGTTGTTGTTGGACTCCCACTTAGTTGGCCACAGTTCGAGTCCCGGACCCAGCGATTTAAAACTCTTGCCAGACATGTGTGTGTGTGTGCCCAAAATCCTTAGAGGAGACTGGAGGAGAAGGGATTGTAGCATGGCCATCTCCCCCCCCAGGTGATTTCTTGCTTTCTATCTCTCTGCCTCTCTCTGTCTGTCTGGTGAGCACACGCCCCTATAGCAAAAAATTTCTCAAAAACAAAACAAAAGATTCATGGAGGCAGGGCACTAGATGGTGTTAGCAATTACATTGCTGGACTTCCACATGACTGACTGCACTTTCAGTCCGGGACTTGGTGGCTTGAAAATCATGCCAAGCACCTGTATGTGCGTGCTCAGGATCCTGGGTAGAAAATGGAGGAGAGGGGACTGTGGTGTGGCCATCCTCCGGGGAGAGATTTTTCACTTTCTCTTCACTGTTTCTATCTCTCTCTCTCTGGCAAGCATATGCAACTTAAGGCAAAAACCTCTTAAAAAAATCATCTGGGAGCATGCACATGCTGGAGAGAGAGAAAGAGAGAGAGAGAGAGAGAGAGAGAGAGAGAGAAGTCTCAGGAGAATGGAGAAGGGATTGCAGCGTGGTCATCCCCCCTTGGAGTGGTGATTTCTCACTTCCTTCTCACTGTCTCTCACTATCACTCTCCTCTCCAGTGAGTGCATGCGCCCTATAGCAAGAACCTTAAAAAAAAAAAATTGAAGGTCAAGTGGTGAGCATGGGTTTGTGAAGAGAAGAGGGATGTGTTTTAGCAGATAAGGGCACACTGCAGACACAAAGGTGGAAATGAACATCAGCTACAACCTCCCACCACTCAATCTTTTCCTTCTTCAGAATAATTTCCCACCCTGCTGCACTTTTGTTAAGTAACTACTAATCTTCAGAGATACATTTGCAAAAGGCTTTTAGGACAAATAGTTTGGATGGAATTAATCTATCAATAAATTCCGTAGCATGAAATAGTTGAAACAAACAGGATTGAGAGTGAATCAAAGTTCCAGGCTTTCCCCTTAAGCTTAATACTAGTGTGATCATTAGCCAATTAACTTATTAGAATTTCTATGTCATTATCTGTAAAGCTGTACTAATATCTCACAGGGTTATTATTTAATAAAATACACCATGTTTGGAGAAGTCCTTAGAAATCATACCGCAAATGCTAATCAGTGCCAATGATGCTGAGTGAGAACAGAGGTGAATCTTGTCTATCTTACCAGTTTCAAATACTCTTACACAACTTTCCGGACATGAGTGCTTGTGAAAGCAGAGGGACGGTTTTAGAAATGGTCTTCAGAAGCCTTGAGAAGTAGAACAACATCTGTTTACTAAACCACCCGTTCTAGGCTCAGTTTGCCTTCCGTCATCCCTGCAGGAGATGGTGCAGGGTTGTAGATTTGGTGGAGTCTGTGTGTATGGATGTTATTGTATGGCGCAAAACCAGAAGGTCACTGTCTCCTTCTCCATAACCTGTATTTTAATTATTGCAATCAAAGAAAGAAAAAAATAAGAACAGATACTGCTATTAAAGAGACGAATATTTCACTGTAAGTGAAGGAATTAGGACAGGAAATTGGGAATAGTGCCAGTACTTACAGGTAGAGCCGCCCGATACTGAGGCACTCAGTGCGTCAGCTGCTTGATCTCTTTCCACACTATCCCATTTTTTACTTCCTTGCATTCTTTTTTTAAATATTTTTCATTTCATTTCCTTTTATACATTCAATCACATTATTATTTGGCTTACAAAATGGATATTTCAACAGGTGAATGTTTCTCCCTAGACCTGTTGATAAAACTACAAAATATCTTCAACAGATTATACCACATTTCTTTGTGCCATTAATGCCTTGCCTTCCTGTTTTTCTTCTAAATGTCCTTCCTCAGACCCTCCTCTTTCACACACAGTATATCTGGTATTTACATCTATATACTGTGTTTCTATTTCCTTTAGTCAATTAGTTTCCTTACATTCTTAATTCAACTTTCCCAGTTTTAGGAAATAGTTAATTGTTAGTTAGAAGATAGTTAGGTCTTGAGAGTCAAATTTGTCTTTAGTGTTCATCCTCTGATAAATCAGCCTGAGTGACTTACTGACAGTTACTCCCAACTGTGGCTTCTAAACTTCGAAAAAACAATTAATAATAATTAAAAAAAAATCTTTAGACACTTGTCTAAAAGCATTGATTCAGAACTTTTTCTTGCTCCTTTTTTTCCTCTTTCTCTCTCTGTACCCTCTCCTCTGCTTTACTTTCATGTAC